ACCTATACTTTATCCTTTGTTGATTGCTACATCAGACGAATGCATGTAAAGTAATTGAATTAATTTTCCCATGAAGACTGGTTTACAATTTTACAATAACTACGCCCTTGGCACATATACAAATAAAGAACTATTTTAAATGCATATCTGTGAGTTAGATCGGCGCATGCGCCACACCCATCTTAATTCTTACGAGGGTTTTTATAGCGCCATTGTGGAGTGTTACATTGCATAACTGAAACTCCATAACAGTCTGTCGAGACAGATTGTGCTCTCTGAAAAGGCATTCTAATTTATTGTCCATATGAGTCATTATGGTAAGCGCCGCGATAGATATTATACGTGTTCCGATGGTTGATCTGGATAGTCTGGAAAATAAATTGTTTCGCAGGGTAGAGAGGAAGAGAGTTTTATTTTCTTGCTAATGGGACAAGCCCGCCACAATATCCCAAAACTGCTCAAACTCCAGCAAGGCAGAATTTCCAATAGATATAACCATGAAATCACCGAAATACACAAGTCCAGCGCGTCCCAGGGACATGAATGATGTTCTTAAATTCATCAACGAAATAAATTAAAAGAAGAATTCTCCTTCGAGGAGCAGAAAAACCGACTCCTTTCGTTTTACGCGAACATTTGCTGTATTAAATAGACGGCCATGATTTCAAATTTCCTTTGAGCAATAGCTTTATTTTCCTGCTTTTCTGCGGTAGTTATTTTGTAATGGAATAGTAGGCAAAGGAACAGCTGGGTTACCTGGTAAGTGAACACACGTTCACAACACCAGAATAAGAAAAAAAAAAAAAAAAGTTTACTTCAGAAACATGTACAAAACTTTTACAGTTAATCTTACATAGGGACCTCCTTTTAAGTAAAAGATATACCTGGATAGGAGGCCCCGATGAAGAAGAGGCAAGTCACAGCTTTTTACGAAGGATTTCGCTCGGTCTACTAACCTATAACTACGTGACTTAGATAAAATCTAGGTAGGTATATATGTGTGAGTATCAAACTCTTTCTGACTGAAAACCATCCCGTTTCTTCTTCAGCTCCGGGCCGCGGCCCTGGTAAATTATTGAGCTTGAACCTGCAACCCCGAGCTATTATTATGGTGGAAAAGTTATCTATAGTATCTATACAAATATTATAAAGAGGTAAAATTTGTAAGTTTGTATGTAGGGGGTAACCTTTGGAACCGCTGGTCGGATTGCAAAAATTCTTTCACTGATAGATAGCTACAATGTTCCTGAATGCTATAGGCTATAAATCATCACGCTACCATCAAATGAAGCCGAGCAGCGGGTGAACTCGCGCGAGAATAGCTAGTCTTCTATGTAATCACTAGGTATCAGCCTTGAATCAAATTAAACTTAAACAAAATTAGTTGTTCCAAAATCTAGCGCACACGCATTAGTTTATTTATTAGCGAGCCGTCACATTTGACTCGTAAAATTAAACTCACTCAAAAACATGTGTTTGTTTTATTGCATTGTTTACGATGGGGAATCAAAACGGTCAATTGAGTTACTGTCAACAAATCTCAACTTAGAATTTACTAGTACCCTTTCCTACCATCAAACACTCTTCAAAAGTCATAAATTATTATTAAAAAAAATCAGAATATCTTTGGTAATGAGCAAAGTAGTTTTAATTAATTAACCTTATTTTTTGTCACGGGAAAATCGTCAAATTAGGTACTTCTCCCGCCCAGGGTAAGGCGAGAGAGAGTGTCAGTGTTACTGACTAGAAACCGCCCGTTCCTTCTCCTGCTCTGGGCTGAAGCCGCGGTAACTCATTAAATAATTAACCTAACAGATAATTATGAATCGTTGCAAAACTTTCCATACTTCATATCACATATCCACGTGGTGCAAGATAGGTGATTTGTTTGTAATTTGATTTAGATAAGTTAGTTTTTTTTAGTGAAGAAAATCATCATTTTAGTGTTGGAGAGCCATGCGTCATCACGAATAGGCCGGCTCGACTGGAGTGATACCTCGGCCTCGAAGAACACCGGCGTGAAAGCAACACTTACATTGGAGGCCTCCAAAAGTCCACGCGTTCTTTCTCCTGCGCTTGCCCCGCAACCCCGGTTGAACATCAGCCATTTAGGACCTCGTATGTAATGGTCTATTGGCTCTTTGTGGCGCGCGCGGAATGCTACGCGCCATACTCTCGGGTCTGGTTGTACCCTTACTCGCCGTCCGCAGACCCACGCTTACGGTGGCCGGAAATCATCTCTCGATCCCTCACGCACGCCCTTCTCCGTCTAACAAAAAACTAAACAATTCCTCCTCCTCCTTCGAGGCGGGTATATTGTTTGTGTGTTTCGTAATTAGCAAGCAGGTACGATCACATCCTTCCTTATATGAATATGAGGATACACATCTGTCATGTCCGTCCACCTATGAGTGATATCGGAGCATACAAACGTCGAGTCGATTGCTTAATCGATAGTTACGAGTGAGATTTATAGCTCACTATTATTTGTGTTCCGATTCGGCGCATGCGACGGCGACGCCAGATGTCAAAAACACATCAACCGTACAACAGCCGTTGACATGAGTAGGTACCTATTACTACAGTTTTAGTTCGAGTGTCGTCTGAGTTCATGGCACCACGGAACTCGTAAATCAATTAGTAACTGTCATCAGTCTGTAAAATTATTTTTTATGCCCAATTTGGCTCTGGTGATTGGTTTTCGCAAACAAAATAGGTCACCTAGATATGGACACGATAAGTAGAGCGTAACGGAAGGATAAGGTTATTAATAAAATAAAATATTAGCTCGATGACTAGTTTTGTCTGGACAGCTGGACTTGATAGTTCAAGTCCAGCTTAGAGTTAGCTTAGTTAGAGTCCAGTTAAGAGTAGTCAGAGACTACTCTAAGGCTAACAAAGAACTAGATGTATCGACATCAACCTTTAACTTGCTGATTGGCTGGTACCTACATTATTTCAACAAACAGCTCGATAATTTTGTTTTTTATAGTAACTATCGTAAGACAATCTAAATTCATTGCAAATAACGACTACTTTAACCTTTATTTGATTTTTGATTCTCGGAATATCTCTATCCATTCACCGAATATGAACCAAAATCTTACGAAACGAACTGAAATCTTACGAGCGGTATAATAAGAGTTTCTGATATTTAGGTATTGGGAAGGGATGAGGAAAGGGATTGGGCCTCCTGTAACCTCACTCACACGGCGAAACACAACGTTATGGCGGTTTCACGCCGATTGTTGTGAGACTGTGGTATTATAACTCTTTTCGACCGAACCCTCCGTGCTGAAGCTTCTCCAACACATATCTAAGTATAACTCGGAAAAAGTCACATTGGTACCTACCTACGAAGTTACGTTAACAACATCATGTACAAGCTAACATCATGTAACAGCTATAAAATTGGTGGTCCTTTAATCATACGCTTTGTTTAAAAAAGAACCTTTCAGTTACTCGTGTCAAACGAGATTGGCGTCTGAAATTGGCAAGCTTCGTCATGCTGTGAGGCGCCAACGTTCTGTGCGTTAGTACCTATTTTACTCTGTATGTACTTTAAAACTTTTAATGTTTATGTTTCCGCTCCTTTGAAGACTATGAGTAATTATATACGTATTGTTAGTTTTTAGTAGGTAAGATACCTTGGCTTATTAGGTGGGCTATGAAAAAATAGATAGGTACCTACCTAGTTATGTGAGTATTTTTGGTCAGCGAATTGTGCTCCAGTCTAGGTACCAATGTATCGAAATATATTTTTGTTTTTTAGTATGGTACTTTCCATATACCTACTTCAATTCAAATTTTGTTGTGGTTCGGTAGGTAGGTACTAATTACAGCATGCCTATGAAACAAAGTGTGATTGGCTTAAAATATTTCTTAAGTACCTATTTTAAAGTCATACAAATGTATGTATTTCACTGAGAAAAATTCATTGAACTGTAAGTACCTAGGTCTTCATTTAGGTTGACATGTATACATTATTTGGTTTTCATGAGCTTACAATTAAGCTCATGAAAACCAAAGGTTAATATCTATTATTGCCATTGTGCAATAATAGATATTAACGTTAGTAGGTAGCTGTAGCTTTGTTAATCACACACCGCACTCGAAATTTCTCCAAAGTAATCGATTCCTTGAATTTTACTCAATATACACTTATCTGGGGTAAAGTCTAGTACCTACCGACGAATCCACTTAATTCCTTAAAAATAGATACTAAAATTGTCTATTCCCGTCTACGTTTAGCGTTGTGGAATACTTCACTTTATGTGTTTACCATTTAATCAGATTTTTATGCTTTTTACACAGTTTATTGTTAATTTTGAGCAGGTGTTGTGAAAACTATAAATTATTGAAGCTTGTATCTGCTTCCCGTAGGTATGGACGCCTGTCCGATCTATTTCGGTCGAGGTCGTGAATCACCGAGCCCTAAAGGTATTTTTCATTATCACAGATTCAATGACGGGGAAATGTCTATGACGGGACTGAAAACAGTCAATGATTTTAAAAGGTATCCGAGTATTGATCACTTTATTAATTACCTAGGTCTCTTTAGTGTAATAATAAAATTAGTCACTTATTAATCACGAAAATTTATAATAAAAAAAATTAAATATTTCAATCGTTTCATAATACCTAGGCATGTAATTAACCTCCTTACTTCCTGTAAGGAGGTTAATTTTTTGTAGGTAGGTACTCTGTTGGCCATCAGTACGAAACTTTTGTAGTCTTTGAATATGTTTAATCGCAATGATTGAAGCCATAAAACTTATTCAGGATTCACGACGGAATTAAAATCTATTCTGTATAAAAATGCTTAGCTTCTGAATGTGGCTGTGTGACCAGTGGTCATTTACCCCAAAATGCAACATTGAGGCCGTATGATGCACTTAATAGTAATTAATCTAGTCCATTGTGATGCTTTTGGACAATATTTCGTCAATGTATAGGTTACTATTTATTCTCTACGAGCCGGCTACATTTCATTCAGTGCACGCTGATCCGCGATGCCATAGAGTCTATAGACATCTACGAGAACGCGCGAAACTTATTCGAAATTTAATTTCAAAAAAGTGCTATGAATATTTGGTGACAATCAAATAGTGGTAACTTTTTTTAATCGACATTATGTGGCGGACTGTTTTGGGCTTTTCATTTTTCTTCTACACAATCGTTTCGCACGTTACTACGGCGCCAATGTATTATCAAAATCAAAACAGTGAGTAGCTTTTTCTTAAGATTTATTGGTCATCGTGCGTTTTGTTTTTAATGAGGAACAAAGTAATATTCGTTATTTTCTTTCTGTGACTATTGTATCGTCGTTAAAAGTATGGTCCAAGTTATTCTGCAACCCATTAGACTTTATTGTTATAAAAGATGGAGCACACACGTGAATGATTTTACGGGATTAAAATGGGCTGGTAGAGCTTGTACGTATTTATTACTTGATTAAATATAAAATGAGGCTCTGATTGCAGTTAGATATTTAACGATTGTTTTTTAACTGTTTATTATGGGCATAAAAAATGTTCTGATCAATAAAGTAGGAGTATGTTTAAAAAGGTTCATTCGTCTAATCAATTAGATACATTCGTTTATTAACGATTCACTTCAATTGACAAAATTATAATTACCTAACCTTCGATGTTAAGATATTCATTAGAACAGCCTTTATTATTTCTACATTCAGGTATCATTCAGTTCTTTCTCCAGTCAATAGATCAAAAGTCTGACTATCTGATACTTAGGTCTATAATTTCTTTAATTAAGTGAGTAAATTAAGGGAATATAGAATATGCAGTATTCGCAATAATGAACATTTTTGCATACAACATAAATTTTCGATGTTGGCTAGCGTACTTATCAATCTTACTACTCGAGTTGAAGAATCCGAAATTTATAATGATGAATGGTTATTTAACAGTCGTAAAATATTGTGTTCTTGACTTCTTCGCATCACGTTCAAGAGCGTAACGAAACGAATAGGTGGCGGTGTCTATTTGTCTATTAGATACTCTTGTAGTCTTATCCACATCGAATTCAGGACCAATTTACAGATGCCTGTTAAGTGATTGACCCACTTTTTTATCTTAGTTCATTTTAGACTTCATTTAGAACAATTTGTTCTAATAAACATAATCATTTTGTTACTTATTGTATTATACATATAAGACCAAGTTCCTACCCTTGCACAAGGTGCACCTTTTTGTGGGCACAAAATACATACTTGCATCGTATTATTGTTTTATCCTTTTTGTTATTTTTTAGTTACTATTTGATGTCATGCAATAAAATATGGTTGGTACTAGTTTACATGAAATCGCTCTTGGTCCTAGATTATGACATTTTCGTTTGTCGGGGAAAACAGGAGGGGTAAAACTAAATTGTAACAAAAAAAAATATTAAAAACTAAAATATTTACGTCTGAACACATTAAATAAAGAAATGAATAAAATACTCCTCATCCGTGTTGTGAGCTAGTTTCCAAAAGTCTGCCAGTAATTTTTAAGTTGTACATATATGTATATATAATTATTTTATTTAGATGGACGGTAGAGAAGATATACCAATATAAAAAAAATAATTTTCGACGGTTAGAGACCGTTACGAACTTGTGACCTTTTGCAGCTGAGGGTGCTCTAAGTATATGTGCAGACCCATATTCATCAGATTAACACTGAATAGGATAATAAAATTGTCAAACATTTTAAAGGAAAGAATTCCAATATTAATTTTACCGAATGAACATGAATTACCCTACTTAACTGACCAGTATTTGATGGCTTCCAGATCCACATACACCTTATCAATTGTACCCGGTAATGTGCCCTGCATAGACTGCGAGTATTATTGTTACGTACATTGAAAATAGAAGAGGTGAAAGTATACCTTACCCTTGGGGACGACATAAGATGAGTCATCCCGTCTCATTTTATGGTCTAGAAGGATATTGTGATTGACCACGTTGAAGGCGTTTGTATAACCAACTAAACCAGTACGGTACACAGCAGTACTGTGTTTGGTCTAGAACAAGACTGGAAGGGAAGAAGTAGGGAATTTCGAAAAAAATGTGCAATTTTTTCCTGACGTACTTTAGATAGGTATGGAGAGACTGAAATTGGGGGAGATAGCGAAGGATAGAGGAGGGTTCAGAACATTAGAAAGTGACCTTATAAAAAGTAGGGGCCATAGAGAAAGAAAATAATAATTGGCAGACGTTGTCCGTAACTGTTACGATTATATAAAGTGAGGAGATGTACTAACAACAATCTTGGACTTAATGGTTGGAATAACCTTTATGATCTCCGCGGCTAACGGAGTGATCTAAGTGTTCCATATTTATTGTCCACAGATCGGGGTCCAAGCTATACGATATCGAATGTTCCTGAAGGTCCGCACAAGCCGTATATAGAGGTCCGTAACTCGACATACCATGGAAGCGGGCCGCGCGAAGAGGCGCGCGCCATGTGTTCAGTAAGGACCCAGGAAGTCAACGCCACCGCCAACGCGACAATTACTAGGAGGCTGCATGGAGTCGTCACTTCTCGTGAGTATATTTAGCCTAACAATACATTAGTATCGTTCTGAGCAATGGCTCAAACTAGGTCCTCGCAATGGTACAAACCTACATACGTATTAGGTACTTTCTTCTTTCTTCGTATCGCGTAGTAGGATAAAACGCCCGACACTCTACGTACCTTTCTACAGCCGAATTAAATTCGACTTCGAAATACATCGATCACATCTTAAGCCATTACATTAGGATCGGTTTTTGAGATGTTTTAGTCAAAAACGTAAATCGACTAATTACTGTTAGAAGTTACGGGAATACAAAACTAAAGCGGATTACGTAGTAGATAATGCTAGATCCGGTGATACGATGTTATCTGGTAGACTCAAAATGTTGGATATTTTTATTAGTAACGTATGGGATGGTAAGTTTTTGTCTGCTCTCTACTCTCTCTAGATTTCTTTTCCTAAGTCATATTTTTTTTGTAAGATGAAAAGGCGGGAGGGATTTTCAGACTCTTACTGACCAAAACCCGTTCCTTCTCCTGCTTTGAGGCTTTCGTCGAAGCCGCGGTGCCTCATTGCGCTTGCCCCGCAACCCCGGCTGTCCTACAATTTCACATCTATGATATACAGACCTGGAATAATTTGTAGATCACTTCAATAGATGTTCTGTGTGGGAATCGAACCCACCCACCACGTCAACTGTGCAGTCTAGAAATAGAATGTAGGTACCTTCTTACCTAATCACATACGATCCTTTCCTTCACAAAATATGCGTCATAGTCATAGTAGACCTACGGTCGATATTTTTTCTCCGAAGTATAAAGCAAGCCATTCATCGAAGATTCGGACTATAATATAAATTGGCAGATGAACGCATGATCACATCATGTTCTTATTGGCCATTTCATGGGAGCTCTTTGGATGGGGTCAACAGCACCTTTATAGATCAATATTACGAACTAAATGTATATATAGGTATAGGTACATAGCTATCTACGAGTATATTCGCCGTACCTCTAATTTTTTAATTAACTAACCCTATTTGTTATTTTATTTTAGACCAATTTTAGAGTTAACCGAGTATACAGTTTTGTTATTATTAGTACCTACCTATTAGTTGGTATAGGCACAGAGTTAGTTATCTTTAGTTTGTTGGGAACAGATCTCATCAGTTATTGATAGGGTTATTTTTTATGTTAATGGCCATAAATTGAAATACAAGCCAATATACATAATTAATATGTATAGGATGTGGCAGTTCACTGTGAAAAAGACAGAATTTGTTAGTAGGTAAGAAAGAAATGTGTAGGTATCTATAAGCTTTCTGTTTGTAGATGTACTCTACCCACTTACAATTTATTCATATTTATTGGGAGAAAATCAGCAAATGAGTTTTCTCGAGCGGGAGGTAGTGTCAGGCTCTTACTGACTAAAATCCACCCTGTTTCTACATATGACTCCCGATTCCCGCTTTAAAATATCATCATTTCTTACAGGAGAACTCCACAATTCAATCCAGCGCCTGGAGGTGATAATCTACGGACAGATGCAGCAGTTATGGCAGAGCTTGGACGCGCTACGCACGCAGCTATCCGGCAATGCACGATCCAGTAACATCATGTTCCCGCCTAGAAACACCGTGTCTTTTAGATACCAACCTCGTGCATTGTGATCATAGAATAGACAACCTTTGAAAGTGTTTACTGATAAAGGTACAAGGGAAAATGGACTGTATTACTTTTGTTTCCATTACTTGACATCTAGAAAACATTTTATGAACAAAGATGGATCATAATCGTTAATTGTTAAAGATTACGTATCGCATTCGCATACCCATTATTCCCTTCTTACTTTGATAGGTACGATCTGTTAAGGTCAAGTAAGGTCAATGCATTTTGGGATATTCGCAAGGTCGTCTCAAATCTAATTAGAGGGCTACTAATAAAATTATAACGATTAATATGAACATGTGTCGAAATACCTGTGTTACTATTCTCCCAATAAAGTGGTGGAGAGGTAAAAGTTAATAAGGTTGAGGTTGCCATTTCTATATTATTGTCATGCATGGCTATATGTCTAAGGAATGGGAACATTAATTGACATTTATGAATGAGATCATAGAAAGGGATTTGGTATCATTAAACAAAAACAATTTTCTTTTTATAAAGTTCAATTTATTAACAATTAGTAACTGAATAATTCAGCAGCTTACGGGGCCAACTTCACATCGGTGTGGTTACTCGAACTTGGCCCCGTAATAACAAATAAACAAGTACCTCGTTAGTTACAATAGTTAAGTTAAATGATGTAAAACTAAGTGTCGTTATTAATAAATATTAACAAACAAATTATTATGCATTATTTCTTAAATTACATTTAGAATTTTGCATTAGAATGTGTGTACTTATAAACAATACATTCGATTAGACCTATTACTTTATATTAATTAATTCATAATTTAAATATATTCGGATAATGGCGTCGTTATTGATATGCGTACAACTGCAGGAAATGCTCACACTACCTTATAAAAAATGGACGGATTATACTTTGATATAAAATAAACAAATAAATAAAACCTCTACTTTCGTACGTATAATATTTTGTTCGCTCAAATGTAATCGTAAGTACGAATCCAATTATAATAATATTACAATTACAATAATATTTATACATACATAATTACAACACTAGATCCAATTATGAAGTATTTTCTTTTTGCAGAATATACCCATTGATCGTATAAGTGTTGCGTGGAATATTTTGACGATGACAACTTTAGAACTCGGAGAATTAAAATAAAACTCGAAAATAACTACTAATGACTTTTGAAAAGTAAATAGTAGTTATTTGGCGATGTTTTTTCTCTTGAGTAAGATTTGGAGATTCTGTTTGTAGATTGTTAGTAGGGTCAAGCGGCTGAAGCTTGCATGTAGCGGCGTAGTTCCTCCTGCGTGTCGAAGATCATGACGGGGAAGGGAGAGCCGGGCACGTGCCGGCCAGCCCATCGGACTTCCACGCGGTAGTCGCCGGGCTCGGTGGGAGAGAACTGTGAGTAAACATACAAATATATTATTGGTACTGTCTAACGTTAATGCAGAGATTGTATTGAGAGCAGGCCCTTGTCAGGGCGGGTTTGAATAATAAAAAAATCGATTTAATGTGTTGGATTCTTATTAGCTCTGTCCTTGTTATAGGTAATTATGTAAAATGTTACCTCAATCATTTATTTTTGATTTATAAATAAATAATTTTGAGTCTATGGATACAATTATAAATGACTATATGATCTACTGTTCTGTTCTGTTGACTATGATGTACTGTTCTGAATGCATTTATTTTACTTTGAATTGCTCGCTCATAAGAGTGCCGGTTAGGTCGGTAATCAAATAAAAGAACTCAGACGCACATTGTACGCGACATAAGAATACAATGAGGGATTTCTTCCTGCAGACTTGCGGCAGTGTTCATGCGCAATTCAAAGTTTAATTTTAAATATTTCTAATACATTATGTCGGCATTGCAGATACCTGCATGATGAACACATGACAACGATTTGCTGATATCATTATACGTCACATGTACACACACTACGCATGTTATGATAAGTTAATACCTTCATACAACTCTTTGTCCGACTTATAGATCCATATCTGTACATTTTATACGCAAGTGATAATTATTGTAATATCGTTATCAATCTCTTTCCTAACATGTGTTTATGGAATGAAATGTTGTAAACAAGTGTCTAGTGCTTTGATTTTTGGTAATGGCGCGTTAATTTGTAATCTATCTATAATATAAAAATGAATCGCAAAATGTGTTCGTAAGCGCATAACTCAAAAACGCCTGGACCAATTTTGACAAATCCTTTTGTTTTGTATTTATTATTGTCAGGATAACGTTCTTATGAAGTAAAATATTAGAAAAGTAGAGGGAAAAATTGGGGAAAAGTAACCCTTTTGATTGTTAGCGAGATAGTTGGACCCGTGCGAAGCGGGGGCGGGCCGCTAGTTGTTTATAAATTAGGTTTGCGTCACAGGCATAAGGCTAAGATGTAACATGTAATGGTAAAAAGGATTTAAGTAGTTTCGCCCACACTGTAGGGTAGATCTATCATTGTCATTACCAACTTAATGGAATTAATTTTATGATATTTAGGGTAGGTTTTAATTTTTAAACTCTATAATTGGACATCAACTATGACATAGCCGTTTTTTAATATAAGTTACCTATCTATACAACTCGATGTTCAGACAAATAACGTTCTAGGGGTATTATGTTACGAGACAATTTAATAGGCAAATATTTTTATATAGGACTTATGGTACTTTTTACCAACCTACCACGCAGGCGTAATATGTCTTGTATGTATGTATGTTAGCTTACTTTGCAGAGTATGGTGCGGTCCTTCTGGCTCTCGCGCTGCATCTCGACGCGGAAGGCGCCCTTGGGCCCGCGCACGCGCACGGTGAGCTGCCCCGCGCCCGCGCCGCGCGTGTCGCACAGGAACCGCGACTGGAACGTCGCCAGCACGCCCGGCTCCACGCCCGGCCCGTACACGCGGACCTACGCGTGCGTTGTTTTATGTATGAGTATTTAATCAGTAGGATCTAGTATAAAGCCACGCTATATAACTAAATTCATTTTTTATGCATTCTTTATACTGTGATATTTATATCGGTGCCATAAGGCTCTTGTCATCGTTTTTTTAAATCAGTAATTTTCAATTTACTTCGTGCTACTATTGTACTTGACGCCAATTGTAAATTGGAAAATAGTAATTGTGCTTCGACGTGAGTACCGATTTAAAAGGAGGTATAATAATACCTATTTCGTGTGCCGAAACATCAATCCAAACAAGACATAATGTAGCGGACTACTTACTGGAGTACTCCAGTGGTTAAATTAACATACCTTGGAGGGGTCGGGAGCCCCGGCGACTTTGAGTACAAATGGCGAGCCAGGCACGTGTTCTCCCGCGAACTGTATGCTGAGCATGTGGCGGCCCGCCTCCGCCGGCTTCACGTTCAGCGTGAACGTACCGTCTCCGTGCTCGTACAGCTCACAGTACGCAACCTGTGTCAATAAAGAAGATCAGTGTACCTGCTTACAAATATTAATAAAATACTTCCAAATAAATCGATAAAAGGTGGATCTACTTTCAATTAATTTTTGTGTCCAAATACGTATCATGTTGTAATAAATAAATGTGGCTAAATTTACTTTAATGACTTTAATCAGAGTATGGGTTGAGTTCGGGTAACAAATATAACTTACTTACTAACTTCAGGACATGATCGCAGTAAAGTGTATAATGTACAAAAAGACTGTGATGGTCACATTTCCACCATTTGTCAAATATAGTTTATGCTACTTGTATGGCATTATTTAGTAGCTTGGTGGTTGTTTTTGGAAGAAATCAGTTTTAACATCCCAACCAAGATGTAAGCAAATTGTGAAAGTCAGAATCTACAATAGATATAACCATGGAAAAACCAGTCTGGCTCCTGACTAACTGACATGAATTACGCAACGAAATTAATCAGAAAATGAGAAAAAACGAAACTAAATAGTTTCCCTTTGCAGTTGTCATTTTAGTAAGGTTTTGCGTTGTTTCCAAGTTAAGATATAGGTGATGTATGTGGTGTTACATTACCTTGTTGGGGCCGGTGCAGTGCGCGGTGAGCTCCCCGGGCCCGGCGCGGCGCGTGTCGAGCCAGGCGCGGATGTCGCGGCCGAGCACGCCGCCCGCCAGCCCCGCGCCCGAGCACACCACGCGCGACGCGTCGCCCACCGCGCCCGCCGCCACGCCCACCGTCAGCGGGCACCCTGCGGGAACAAACAACTACGTTCATTTCTCATTCTTTACATTACGCAAGAATGCATTCATCAGGCAAAATGTAGACGCGCCATGATAAATTGAATTGTTAATTAAGTTCAAAATTAATTGCTTTGAATCATCAACCATATTTTAGCATGCTAAAAGTAGAGAAGTACAGTTCAATTAAGTCATGATAATGCTTCCTCTTTGAAGTAGGAATGAATGTCAGGCAAAGGGGGGGGGGGGGGAGTCACGCTGAAATTTTTTAATTTTGCATATGCCTCATTGGCGATTGGCGAAAAGTCTAGGCACCGATAAATAACCAGTCATTAACAACATTATCTTTAGTGCACTGTGTACCTTTAACAAGTCGTCCTGCCCATAGTACCCTGAGCTGATGATCCCCAGGACGGCGCGGCGTGTAGGTGGCCCGCCATAGGCCCGGGCCTGCCGCCGCCAGCGCTACCGGGATGTTGTCACCATCCGGAGACGTCAGCGAGGCCTCCGGTGCACCTGGCCCAGCTGCGCTACCGTCTATAGAAGTATAGAATTTAGTAAATCAGCGAAAATTCTTTTTTATGGCCCTAAAATCTCGCTTCATTAGCGTTACTTGGACAGCACAAAAAGGACAGTCCTCAACTTCGTACTGCAGGAAAAAGTGATTTCAATATAAGTAACCTTTATAAGTTACTAAGTATCATTAACAGGAAAACCAACTCTTCTCAATGCTTCTCTCAGTGTTTTTAATACGCAGCGGAGTGAGATAAGAAGAGATCATACCGATGGTGAAGACGGCGGGTGTATGTGGCGCGGCGCTGGCGAGCCCGCGGCCGGCCAGCGTGACGCGGTCGGCGCTGGCGGCGGGCGCCAGCAGCGCGCGGCGGGGCGCGCC